CTCCCGAGGGTATCTGAAGGCTCCCACACAAAACGGAGGACTTTAACCATCTTCATGTGGTGACCCGTGGAAAATGAAGCCCTACGTGGGCAAATATCCCCTCCAACTGCTTTCTCATTTTGGAACAGTGTGGGGAAAAATCTCCAAACACCTTATTTTCAAATTAAATGTGAAATTTTCAAATATCGTCAGTCAATTTTAAACAACTGGTTTGCGTGTCAGGTTTTCGGCCTGCAAACGCTATCAATGTTTTCAGTGCTCATCGATTCCGGAGGGATAAAGTTTCCAAAGGGTTTTGGGGAAAACATTTCTCCCAACTCCAGCAGGACCTCACCAAGGCAAAGCAGCTGGGCGAGCATCGCAACCCCGCTTTGCTGACGCAGGGGACTGCACGTACGTTGCGTACGTGACCTTCTCTGGAAACCTGCGGCGGCAGAACAATCCAGCCACGGACGCTGCGGAGGCAGGGACCACGGCACCGCAAGCGGACAGTGAAAACACCATCCCGTGTTTCAGCCAGACTGGGCAGAAGCTTTTCAATCTGCAGATCGCAGCAGTTCCTGCTCTAGGGGCTTTAAACCTGGCAGCGAGGCTGCACTAATAAGCCTGAGTGCTGAGCGAGCTGAGCGTATCACGGTCAACTTACAAAGTGCTTGCTTCCGTTTCGTAAGATTCCTTAACGTCCACTTTTGTAGAAGAGTCGTCTGCAAGGAAAACATTTGAGACACAGAGTTTGAGAGGTAGAAACCCGGTGCTTTTACCAGCCCATGACCGACTCAAACACACTGATTTCCAACTCGGCTTTCACAGCTGGGAGGTGAGAGGCAACGGGGCTGGGGCCGAGATGGTGCTGAGCGGGGCTGTGTCAGGACTGGATACAGACTCAGCAGAGATGCAGAACCGCAAAGAGATTGTTTTACTAAGTGTTTTATGAATAGAGAAGCAAAGGGTACGGGGGAAAAGGACGATGGCTGATGTCCCATAGCCCAGCTGAGGAAACACCTGCAGGTAGGAGATCACCCTCGTGCCCGTCCAACTCACTTACAGGCAATTAAAGCAGAGGAGGGTTTTGTTTTCTCAGTACCCTGCAGGAGGGAAACCACCAGGCTGGCTCCGACCTCAGAGGGTGGCAGAAGAGAGGTGATGGACGTTGGTGAAGATGGGGAGAGACCCTCAGATGGGCCCGGTAAGAAACAAGTAAAAGGGGAGAGCACGGACTTACCGCTGTGTAAGGACATGTGCCGTGTCGGCGTGGACGCCCCATCAAATATTGCTCTGTCCAAGAAGTCTATCGTGGATTCAGTGTAAACAATCTGGAAGACTTGGCTGAGAAGTGAGCACAGTTCCTCGGCGGTCACCTGGGGAAGGGGCAAAGAAAGGGTGGTGCAAGACCGAAGACAGGGCGGTGGCCTTTCTCTTGGGCTCCCTGCGGTGGGCACGCCAGGTGGGACGGTGGTGTGCTGTATTTGGAAGGGTGTTGTCCTCCCAGCGAGGACAGGGGACCCACTTGTCCAAGATTTCGGACACTGCTCAATGCACAGGGTCTCCAGGGCTGAAGGGGATAAACCTCAGATCTCGTTAGCTACCTCCTGCTGTCCCGTGGGGTTTTCCTCGGTGCTCGAGGAGATAAATTCCTGAGATCTGTCGTGCCTCATCACCTTCCCGTGTTGCCAGAGAGGATCCCAGCCCTCTTCAACCGGCCAGACCCTGGCAAAAGGAGATCGGATGCTCCGCCGTCAACCCACAGCTATTAATTAGCATCCAGATTTCGTGTCGATGCTGTGTCCTACTCCTCAGTTCAAGTCCCTGGGATTTTGGCTACATAACCTACATCCCAAATAGGTGCAGGCACCCCAGAGAGCATTAGAGCCAAAAACAAGGCGAGCAAAACTCCACCCTGAAGGCAAAAGGTTCCTGCTGCAGAAGTAGGAATATAGAGGCCGAGATCAGAACCTCTGGGATCCAGACACTGGATGAAACAAATTTCCAGGTCAGCACCAGGAAAATGCCCCTGTTAGCAAAATCCTATTGTGGGAGAGATTCAGTTGTCTTCACAGATTTTTCTGCGGCTGGAGAAAGCTCGAGGTAGCAGGCACCACCACCAAGGGAAAACCATCTTCTGATACCCTCTCATGTCCAAATCAAGTCCCGGGGTTGAGGCAGGGACCAGGTTTCCTCCTCCAGGTAGCACCTCGTCTTAAAACTGGGCCTACGTGTGTCACACAACGTATGGCCAGGTAAGCATCTGGTCACGTAAGAGAGGGGACACTTGGTGAGAGCAGGATGAGGCCACTCTGGGGCTCGTGGCTTTCCACCGTCAACCCAAGAGGTTGTGGCCACCCTGGTCTAAGAGCAGGAAAACCTCCCAGCAATCCCAGTCCCAGTGTCAGAGAGTGACTCTGGAGGCAACCCCAACGTGGGACAGAGTTTTAATCGAGTGTTTTGAATCTTACTTTGTTCTCCGTAGCCAGCACCACCAAGCAACAAGCTTCAACGGGAACCACCCCGCTCTCGGACAGCGAGCCCGAAGTAAGGGCTTTGGAGCTCTCGGCACAGAGACTCTGGCTTGGGGAGATCCCGGGATCCTGAGCTGAGAAAGAGAGAAGTCGTCATGGAAAGGTCGAGGCAGGGAGAGAACAGCAAGGAGTCCTCGCATGGTGAGCGGTCTTCTGAGCAGCCTGCCTGGGGGGAGAGCAAAGCCCCCGGGCAGGAGGGCAGAGGACCCCACAGCTGGGAGAAAAGATCCCAGAGGAGGGAGCTCTCAGAAGCCCAGGAACTCCACCGGAATGCTGCACAGGGCCAGAGTCTTTGAATGAAAAGCCTGTAATTTAGAGTCAGTTTCTGACAACTCTGTAAATCACCGGCTTCATTTCCATGGCTTAGCCAGCCTCAGAAATCCATCAGCAGAATTACAGCCTTCTAAGTCACTTACTCATTTATTCTATAGACTGTCCTCTGCTGTCACGGGGTTTATAATCCGATAAGTCCCTGTCATTACATCTTCTAAGTAGCTCAGTGCTCCCCAAACACTCCAGCCCAAAACCACACAGGTTTGACACACACAGAGATGCTGGGGACAGATTCGAGGCCTTCCCCAGGTATTACCAGAAGTGAGGTGTGTCGGAAGCCGCACGCTGGTTATTCAACGCAGACATTTAAACATCCACTATCGCGATGAAATCCTCCCAGCAACCTGCGCAAGGGTTGCGAAGAGCAGGGCAGGTCCGACACACCGGGGGACCAGGCTGGAGGAGCTGTCTCTGCCTGCTCCCCTTGCTCTTCCTCCTTACTGACATCCACAGAGGACCCCACAGACTGGAGCAGAATAAACTACTACGCTGTCCTGAGAGTAAATGACAGCACCCTCTGGAGATGCGTGTACCTCCAGTCCCTCCTTCACTCCTGCTAAACAAGAATGGACCGAAATAACCCAAGGCAGGAGATGAGAGATCAGGAAGAAATTCTTCTCGGTGAGGGTGGTGAGGCCGTGGCAGAGGTTGCCCAGGGAAGCTGTGGCTGCTCCATCCCCTGGACGGTTGTGGCTGCCCCATCCCTGGAAGTGTTCAAGGCCAGGTTGGATGGGGCTTGGAGCAACCTGGTGTGGTGGGAGGTGTCCCTGCCCAGGGCAGGAGGGTTGGAACGAGATGGGCTTTCAGGTCCCTTCCAACCAAACCATTCTGTGATTTTGTGAAGGACACCAATTGTTTTGGTCTGTTCTCACCCAGCATCGCCTTTGTCCTGTTTCTGGTCAGGCTGGCTGCCGTCCTACACAAGGGCAACACTGGCTGCTGTAGGGCTCTGCCCCACAACACCAAAACACACGGCAACCCCAAAACACAAGGCTACAGCCTGTCCATGCTAGCCACAGCCTACCTGTTTTCAGCACGACCAAGTGAGAGGAGTCATCTCGGATGTAGGAAACGGAGGCGATGTCATGGATGGGGACCCTGAGGATGAGATCTTCTCCATCCCGCCACACCAGCTTGATGTTGTAGGCA